ACATATATGTAACAGCAAAACACTAATGAAAGAAATGAAAGAAATGGGGGAATGTGCTGTGTTCCTGAATTGGAAGAGACAGTAAGTTGTGAAATCTTCCAGATTGACCTACAGTATCAGTGCAGTCCAATCAAAACTCCGGGAGGATCTTCTCTAGATATTTAAACACTGGCTCCCAAATTTATGTAGAAGGTAACAACTAGACAAAGTCATTTTTGAAGAGAATAAAACCGTAAAACATACTACTTCACGACTTCATCGGGAAGCTTCGAAAATCCGGGCAACAGACTACAGTACTTGCGTCAAAACAGGCATAAAGCATTTAAAAACCCAGCCACAGACCCTGATGAATACGGACAACTGATTTTCCACAAAGACAAAGGCAAACCTGACCGAAAAGGGATATTTACAACGAACTGTGCTAGCCACACTGGAATACCCACGCCTTGCTCCCTCACCTGTGTGTGTGAGAGAGACAGGAGAAACAGACGCTACTCTACACCCAGTTAACAATCGCATCAGCCCTCTTTCTGACTCTTGCTCTCCCCCTCTCCCCTCTCCCTCCCGCCCCCCACCTCTTTATGTTACTGGGGTTAAACCCTGGGCCTTCGCACTGAGCTGCATCCCCAGGTTCCCAGACCTTTTTATTTATTTATTTTAAACTTTGAGACAGCCCTTCCAGAAATGGCCTAGGCTAGGCTTGAACTTCTAATCCTCCTGCCTCAGCCTCCCCAGTGGTATTATAGGCATGTTAGGACACCCAGCTGTCAAGCTTGTTTTCACCAAACAATGCTCTCAATGTAACAAATTTTTTTGTTTGATTTGTTTGTTTTTGTTTTCTGAGACAGGGTCTGGCTTTGTACTCCAGGCTGGCCTTAAACTCCTCTTACTTCAGCTGGGATTACAGGCATGCACCACCATGCCCAGCAATGTAACAATTATTATTATTGTTATTATTAATTTATTTATCTATTTTTTGGTACTGGGGATCAAACTAAGGACCTTGCGCTTTCAAGGCAGGCCATGGAACCACTGAGCTAAATATGTAACAATTTTTTGATCTAGGACAGTGTTTGACTTCAGCTTGTTGTATTTGTTTTTTTAAAATTAGGTTTCCATAAAATAGATTAATAAAATTCCAAAGTAGATATCCAAAAGACAGTAATTTTTAGAACAATATACACCATCACTGTGGAAAGCTATAAGTAACAAGTACTCATTTAAATAACTTCAGTCTGTAAGTAAAAATAAATTCTGAACTCACAATGAACAAGCTATTTACTTGCTTACTACTTCTGCATTATGAGTTCATGTTATTTTTTGACAAGAAAAACCTTTTTCTCCACACAATCTTTTTTCTTTCATCAGACACAAATACTTGAACCCACAAAAGTTTTAAAATCAGCAGTTCCCAGAGGAAAACTAAATTTCACAGGACTTGGTGTTTCCGCTTTGACAGTCTTTATTCTTTTGTTACAGTCTAGAGAGGATTGTTATGCAGAGTTCTCAGGGGTTCTGAAAAGCATAGACTTCTGACAGTGACATTACAGGATCATAGCAGTCTACACAGAAGGGCAAAGAATTTGAATTCACAGCAGTAGCGCACTTCAGAGAGTTTTGCTATTTTCTTCTTTACATACATGCAAATACAAAAAAAAAAGCAGGCAAGAGAAGGCGGGCGTTGCCCTCCACCCTTACAGCTATGGGCATAAATCTGTCTCTCTCTCCCGTGAAATGAAAACTTTCTTTTAAAAGCAGGGTTATATGAGGTACAGGTCCGATCCACTTACCAAGCAAACAATCCTGATGCTGTACCAGAGAAATGTTCAGATAAAGTCCAACCTACATTTAATGTTATTACGAATGCTTTCAACTCTAATTAACCAATGACTTTTAAGATGTCAGCAGTCCCAAAAGTTAATTATGTTTCGACTTGTCCACATTTTATTAATTCTCCCAGCTTTGCTTCCTAGTCAGTGCTCTACTCAGCTAAAGTAATCTGTGAAGAGCCCTGAGCCCTGGCTCAGGTCCTCGGTGACACTGGGTCTAAGGTCCTCTCTCATTATCAGGTGGGGGGCACCGGGAAATGAGGACCGGAAGAGACTTACCGGATACTCCCCCGAGACCCCTCTAGACCCACGCGCTCCAGCCTCTCAGTACAAGGTGACCAAAATACATTGACTAAAGCAGCTGTCAGGCTACATCTAGAAGTCGGCCAAAGATTCATGCGCTCCCAGGTGGGGGTTTGGGGAGGAGACCGACCACGGGTGTGCGACACTGGATTTGTCCACAATGGTTTTACAGCTGGGTGTGATGCTAGGCGAAGCCCATGGGAGAGGTGGGTCACTGTGGGTGTGGCCTGAGATTACATAAATATCCCTTCCCTTCCCTTGATCACACGCTCCTTCCTGCCTGCCACGCCATGCGCTGTTTCTCCTCTGCGACGCCCCTCTGCCATTCCACCCTGCTTGGAGCCTGCCTACTATGGATTGAACCTCCACACACCTACCGTGAGCTAAAATAAACCTGTCCTCCTTTGACTTGTGGGTGTTGGCTATTTTGTCTCAGCAATGAGAAAGTAACTAAGTCAAGAATAAATACTACTACTACTTTCTTCTTAGTGAAGCATTTAAACACTTTTATAAACAAATCGCAAAGATGGAGGGGCTATGACTCATTACCAGTTTGCTATCTCCCTTACTCCCCAAATACGTGTGTGTTGTCTTTGATAATAATCATGAAATGACTTGAATTTTGAAATTTTAAAAAATAGAATAATATTCATCAATAATTTTATTATTATTAAGATGTGACTAGACCACAGAGAGGAGGTACATGTATTTGCTAGCAAATAAGATGTCATCTGTCCTCAGATGGGCACAGCGGCCACAGCTACCTGCTGGCTATGGGAATCGTGAATCCCCACTGTTCAGGGGTGACATCGCCCTGCAGGATGTGCCCAGCTAGGCTCACAAGGGCTTGGAAAGAGCTTCCTTCCCAAGAGGAAAGCAACAAAAAAAGTTAAAAATTTGTTATTGCTATTCTTCACACTCAAGTTGATTGGTCCAGTTGGACAAAAATGAAAAGAAAAGTTGGCATTCTTAAATTTCAGAAATTTCCCATATCTGTTAGTTTCAAAGGCACTTTTTTTTTTCCATTACCAGGGATCAAACTGGGGACCTTGCACTTGCAAGGCAGGCGCAGTGGCACAGAGCTAAATCCTGACTCAAAGGTGCACTCTAACAGGAAACATCAAGCAGGCTCTGCTTGCCCGAAAATATGATCAAGGAACTCAGCTAGGAACTAACTGCCACCACAGAAGCAAGGCCTTGCTACTGCGCAATTAGCATTTATTTACAATCTCCAGTTTCTCCGGATTAATTTATATTATCATATCAGAGAACCTAGTACTTGAGTTTAGCCTCCCAAAGAAAAACCTTGCAATGTTTTGTCTAAAATGAATTCAAGGGCTGGGGATTTAGCTCAGTGGTTCTGGAACCTGCCTCACAATCACAAGGACCCAAGTTCGATCCCTGGTGCCAAAAAAATAAAAATAAAATGAATTTAAGATTATTCCTAACCAGATGTGGTGGTGCACACCGGTAATCCCAGCACAAGGGAGGCTGAGGCAGGAGGGTTGCTCTGAGTTCGAGACCAGCCTGGGCTACATAGTGAGTTCCAGGTCAGTCTCAACTACACAGTGAGACCCTGTCTCAAAAAACCAAACCAAAACAAAAAAGATCATTCCTGAAAAAGTTGGTCTAAGTAAAATATTTGCTTGATTAAATAGAACTGTGTGGCATAGCTTTTCTTTTCTGTCTTAGTTACAAGAAAGCTTTGAGCGCCATCAGGGCCAAACCTGGGAAATCGATGAGTAAATGATTGCTGTAACTTTCCACTGGGGGCCTCATCCAATTTTATCCTGTTTCGCATTTTAATCGAATCACACAATACCTCGAATTGTTGCAATAAATAAATAAATGCTAAAGCAAGCCACACGTCAGGGTAATTTATGGAGCAGTAGTAAGAGTTTTAATTTATGGTAACTCTCCATAAACACTAAACACAAAAGACGACGAGTAGCTGACCTGTTTAGCGGTTGTTTCTAGTTGCATAGGTGACATCTACAACTCTCCCTTTAAACCAGGCACCATCATGTCCTGCTGTGCCAGTAGGAAACTAAGACCTAAGCAAAACATCTGTGTGACTCGAAACTGAGTATTCGCCAGAGACGAGGGAAATGCCTATGCCGTTCCCAGCTGGCCTAGAACTTGGAAGTAACACAAGCGGTGGCTGCCGCACCTGGCCTCTGGGGCGTGCGGTTCGGAGGGGGCAGAGCTGGACAGGCACCGGGGCCATGGGATTCACCTTCTCCCCAGGAGAGTCCAGAAGGGTGGTCGCTGTCCGGAATCGACCGTCCCAGAAACAGTGGGGAGTTACAACGGTCCCCCAGGGAGGGGGCAGATTCAGAAGAGCGAAGTCACTGCCACCAGCCCTCGGTGGCATATTCCATTCATCAGTGACAACAAAACCCAACACTTGCTGGAAGTGAAAATCTAGACTTCATTTATCCACAGCAATGTTTTCCTCTATTTTCTAAAAACTGATTCAACATTAAGCAAAAGCCATGTCATTTCATCTGTTTACCACAGTCTCCCATATTTGACGATTTATTTTTGTTTTATTTTGGTATTTTGAGACAGGGTCTCACTATTTAGCTGAGACTGACCTGGAACTCACTACGTAGCCCAGGCTCGTCTCGAACTCACAGAGATCCTCCTGCTTCAGCCTCCCGAGTGCTGGGACTACAGGCGTGCGCCACCATACCCGGCTCATATTTGACTATTTTAATGTGGATAAAAGGATGTGGATATTCATATTTAATTTAGCTAGCTAATCATTTCGGTGCTGTAACGTTTACCCCCTAGCAGGACGGACAGCTCGCAGATGCGGAGGCCGGCCAGTCAGTTATGGCGACACAGGGCGCACGATTGCCTTACATGATGATGATCCCATTGTCGATGGAGAACGAGTCGGAAGGGAGCCCGGCTATGTTCCAAGCGCGGATGGCCACGGCCTCTCCCAGCGTGCTCATCAGGGAGTACTCTGCGGAGCAGGGGATGTCTCGTTCTCTGCACAGCTCTGTCCACTCTTTGGTTTGGTTCTTTAAGACAGTCAAAGAAACAGACAGGGAGGAGCAGGAGGTCACCAAGGGAAAACTGCAAACTCGGTAGCACTTGGCTCACTGAGGGAAAACAAACCCCCCTGTGAGGATCTGCCTCACAACAGCCGGTGCAGCAGGCTTTCGTCAGGAACATTTATCACCGAGGAGGTCAGCTACTGCTCAGATGAACAATGTTCCCCTGAGATAAAAGTGTACATTGACCACACGGTCAAATCAGCACTTTGTATCTGAAAAAATAACTCCATTATTACTGTAAAGCTTCACCTGACAGAGTGGACGGAAACCACCGTGTTCTTCTGCATAGTGCCTTTAAGTTACAAACATCCGGCAGAAACTGCTAGGGTACTTTGATACAAAGGTAGAGCTTTTTGAACAGTCGAGGCCACAGAAAGCACTTATTTCTGGTTCTCACATGGCCCATGGCAGGGGTTAGGGCCAATGCCAGAGTTTGCCAAACCCCCACTAGGGTACAGTCAGGGACCCCAGAGCCAGGCCAGGGCTTCAGGCCAAGGCTCACACTCAGAAAGTGACGGACGAGAAGACAGGTTAAGAACAGGTAAAGGGAAGGCGCTGCACAGGGCCCGGGTGCCAGGCTATGGCCCAGCAAGGACACTGTGTGAAAAGGTAGCCCTGGCACCTCCCCGGGATCTTGCTGAGGACTGACCAACGTTCTCCGCTGCCCACACAAGGCCATGCTTATTTTGGGGAGCTGGTGACTTTCACAGCCTCCCTGGCCTGTCCGTGTTGTGCTGGGTCCATCTGATTTCCCCCAGGACGTGAGGACATCACGGGAATGACCCTGCATGTTCTCCCTGTATCCCATCACTGAGGCCTGATTACAGATGTTTCATCTGCTGAGAACACTGATTTGAATCACTGGACCCATCCACCTCACGTTACATGGTCCTATGTGTGAGCACAGGCTCTTTGGAAGCGAGACCCAAAGACAAGAAGCTCACGGAAGAAAGGACAGATCCTGCTACTCAACCCCAAGGGTGGGATTCGCTTCACGGAGCATTAGGGTCTCAAGGTGCATCCATTTACCTACAAATGACTTGACCTTTTTCCTTTTTATGGCAGAGAAGCACCCTGTACAATTAGCACATCTTCTTTACCCGTGCCTCTGCTGAGGGATGCGAGAGCCAGGGGGAATTTGTACCGGGATTGGCATGGCCGTTGTAGTTGAAGAACTATGGGCCCCGCTAACTTGAGAGAGGTGGAGCTTTCTAGTGTCTGCTTTACGGAAATACTGGAGACTCCAGAAGCGGGCTGAGTAATAACTGACCACTACTGAGATTCAGGCACGGGGAGCAGGCCCAGCTGTCCAGGGACTTGGGAGCCTTTCTGGTTGGAGGAGGATGGTGCATGGTGAGGCCCGTGCCTTGGACGGGGTCTCCTGGCAGCGGACCGAGGAGCAGACTGAGGAAGCAGGCCAGGACACATCCAGAGACACCCTGCTCTCCCCACTGCGCGAGTCCATGCCAGGGAGGGAACAGCCGTGACCACAGTCTTGTTCTGCTCCACGGGACCCAGCTGGGTGGCTTTGAGCAAACCCAGGAAACTGTAGAAGCTGTCGTTCCTGAAGTGGTCAAGGGAACACATCTGTCAGCAAGTGAACAATGCTACATGGGATGCTAAGCGCTGAGCAGGGGCACTGATTCCACGTCTCTGTCCCCAGGAACATCGGCAAAGCTGCAGGACAAGGGTCACCAGACTGGAAGGACACAACCGCTGTCTATGTGAGGATTTTGAAGTAGTTTGGTCAAAAAAACAAAAACAAACAAGAAAAAACACAAAAAAACAACAAGCCATAACAGAGGCACCAAGAATCTACCCTGCTTGGACAAAGTCCTGAAATTAGGTGAAACAACCGACACTAGGTACAAGTGAACCACAGCAAAGCCCTCACCAGGTGGGTTTGCATTGTTTCCCCAGCTTGCGTGATGCCGGACGGGTCTGCCAAGTATCTCCGTTTCCTCTTTCCTCTCTTCCTCCCTCTCCTCTTCCTCCTCCCCGCCCCTTCTCCCGGCTCCACCCTCTCCTTCCTTAGGGCTGCGTCTCAGGCGGGTTCCCTTCAGCTTTCCACCCAGGGCTGCAGAGCAGTGGGGTGGGTTTGTGGGGAGAGCCAGAGCGGCAGGAAGGCAGGGACCAGCTTCCAGGGCGAGGAGCCGGGCCCCAGAGCCAGACTGCGCCCAAGGGTGGGAGGCCGGGTGAGGATTTCTCAGGACCCCTCCCCACGGCCCCCAGCAGGTGCCCGTCTCCCTCCCTGCCCGCTCGGCGGAGGTGCCCCTGTGACATCTAATTTCGTTTCTAAGACACCAGAGTTTAGGAGATTATTCCACACAGCATCTTTCAGCGGCCACCACTCTGGGGACGGGAGAAATAAAACACACAACCAGGACCCCTCAATACAAGCCTCCGCTCTTGCACTTAGCAGAAAACCCAAACCAACCAAGCAAACCCAGGAGGCCTGAAGCTCAGGCCGGCCCAGAGCCCTCACCTGCCTGTAGTTGGACGTGAAGGCGCCCAGGTAGGCCACCACCCCGGAGGAGATGAGGATGTCGCCGGTCAGGTTGACGTAGAGCTGCCCCAGCTCCAGGGCGGAGTGGCCCCACCGGGTCTTCTCCCCACCCAGGCCTCCGATCAGCTGCTCCGCCCGCTCCAGCTTCTTGCTGCACAAGTCAACCTCGAAAACAAGAGTCAGCTCGTCAAGGGCCAGGCTGCGGAGTCCAGAATTCCCCACGACCTCCCCTCCTGCCCTCCAGGGGTGACACCTACAGACGTGCGCCTGGGATATCTTCTGTTTCTTGAAATGCGAAGGGCTCAGTTTCATCGTAAAGTTATTGCAAGGTGCCTTTGACCCATTTGAGATCCTGCTATACCTTATTATGCTATTTCTTCCTCTTTAGTATTATTAGACCAAATAGTCATTTGGCATTAGGTGTTTTCGGTTACAAATCAGCGAATCTCTTTTTACATGCAAACATAGGTCAGCAAGGAAAAATAGAAGTCTGACTTTTAACATTGTAAATTATGGTCTGTGGAGTTCCCCTGAACACACATGAGCGTTCTAATCGTGACCAGCACTATGGCTTCACTTCTGCTAACGTGTGTGGACGCCTCGTGGACTGATAACAGGATGCATCCTACGTCCGTCTGTGACCCTGTACTTGAGCTTGACAGCAGTACGTGAATTTTACAGAAAATAATGATCACCAAGCAGTTCAGATGGGATCATTTACTTCATTAAAAAGTATAAAGAATCAAAGAAAGATTAAGTAGGGATTAGGTGAGCTCAACTAATGTATGCACACTGTCTAATAACTGCCTGAATTTTTTCAAACATGTTATTTTGAAGTAGTAAACATTCGCAGTTGCAATCAATGGACAGGTTTTGGATTTTCAGTGTCGGTTGAAGGGGTTTTGTGACTGTGACAAACTGATTTTATTGTCGTTTCCATATGGAAATAATGGCAGTAGACCAGAATATAGCACCACTATTGTTTTGAGAACACATTTCTGTAACTAGAGCTATTTAAATCTTTTTTAATGGGAAAAACCCTTTAATTTGAGTGGACAAATTTCCCATACCTACATTGGGAAAATGATTATTGGAATTTTACATAGAATAAGAGAAATGGATGTAATGTATATTTAGAAGTACAAATTAAATCTATTGCAGTTAGCTGAATATTTTAGCAAGAAGGGGAACTTTGTTTCGGTCTTTGTTTATGATTTCTAGAGTTTCCTATATTTAGTGTTAACTTGGAAGGAAAAGTTTAAAGGTAAGCATTACAAACATTGTTCATGGGGCAGGAGAGGCAGGGTACATGAGCAGTAGCAGTTTCTGATAATTTTCACACTCACTTATTTGTTTCTTTTTTGATCTAGATTAGACATTTAGCTGGAATTTTTAAAAAATTAAACGAAAAATGTGACTTAGCTCACTATGATATGGGGAAGCCCATGGCATTTTACAGTTTTTCAAAGTTAGATCATCTACGTTAACATAACTCGTGAAACCCATCATGTATATTTATCATAAAATACAGAGACTAACTCTCAGGGAGTGGTCTACAGCACAAAGCTCTGAAAGGTGAGTACCAGAGAACATGCTCCTGCAAACAGAGATCTTGTCCCTCCACTGACAATCAGCAGAGCTGTGCGTGGAGCTCAGGCCTGCAGCACCTCTCGAGCCTGCCCGAGGCCCTGGTGCGATGCTCGGTATCAACGGCAGAAGTCTAGATGCATTGCATTCCAAATATTTTATTTCCAATTTCTGCATTTCCACACATGCAGAACACACCTTAATTCTTCCTGCGTTCCCTTCCCCTCCCTACCTCCCCATCCTCCATCTCTTGCCTACAGCTGTGATTGGTTTTGATGATGATTTTAAAGGTTAAATGTTTAAATTGTGAACGATTCCTGCTTGTACAATGCATAGTCTTCAAGGTGTTAAATGATGGTAACCTTCTCAGATACTTGCACTTAAGCTTAAACTAGTACATCAATCAATACCAAAGAGCGTATTTTGTGCACAAGGCCGTCAGCCAAACCTGCTTCTAGGTAACGAAGCAATGTAGTAAGACAGGGGTGTGGAGGGTAGACCTGGGAAATCCGTTCCAAGCCATGGGATCACAATATTCTCATTGGCTTCCTGAACGCCTTTGATTTAATTTTCAAGTGATTTAGCATCATTTTTCTTAAAAGAAGACAAGAAACATTTATCTTATGGTTCAGAATGAAAGTAATTTACATGGAAATTCAATAATCAATAAAAGTAGAGGCATTTAGCCCATTTATGGAGTAAGAATTTATCTTATGCTTTTTCCTAATATTATTCAAATTTATGTTAAATAAATGCTTTTTAGGTTAATATAAAATACCAGTTGATGTAAAGATATGTTTGAAAAAAGCAAAAGGCATACAATGAGTAATACTTTTGATACTCCTGAATTTAAACCTTTTCTATTTAAATTCTCCCTTTAAATGTATTTTGCCTTTCTAGTTATTTGCCTTTTTCCATTTATTTGTTTTGGTAATGCTTACAATCAGCTGAGTCAGGCCTTGACCATGGAAAGTTGTCATTTGAAATTACTAAGCAAAAATATTGTAGCTAAAACTTTTCCTCCAAAAGCGGATAACTGAGATAAATGCACATGTGTTCGCCTCATTATCTTCCAACATTTTATTATAAACAAATCACAGCCTTCTAACACTTTAGTATAAACAAAGCAACAAAAATTTAAACATACAGAAGAGTTGAAAAATGCTCATGGTGAGCAACTGCATACCCCTCTTTGGGACGTATTATTCACTCAATCATGCCCAGTAATAGACTAGGACAATGTCTCCTACTTGTCCTTTCAAAATAGGCAGCCTGGTACTATGGAGAGGGGACTGACAGCCCACTCCTGGGTCCGGTTCTCAGACTCAATGTCGAGGGGCTGGGCTGGCCATGCACAAGATACTAAACTTTTAGTATCTTCAGCTGGGCACAGAGAGCTTGCCCCTCTCAGAAGACGGTCCTGAGAATGAAGGACAGTGCCTGGCGAGACATTTTTAACAGTAACCCTGAGGAGTTTGAAATCGTGCTATCAATGTCCATTTTCAAATAAGAAAATCAGTTCAAAGATAAAAAAGAGCATTGCCTTACATATGCACCCAATGAATGTTTACAGCTGAACCATATTTTGATGTTTATTTTCTAGAATGTAATCAGACTTTAGCAATTAATCTGTATTTGTGGCATGACCATGAGTCAGAGCAATACAGGAGAACCTATGGCACACGTGCCGCAGCAGGCTGTCTTAGCACTGAAAACTCTAAAAGGTTCGCCATCCCTGAGTTGTTACAGTGATGGTCTTAGTCCTAACGTTTCTGGTGGACATCAAGTGACTCTGGGTATTGAGTTCTAATCCTGGCTCTGCTGTTAACTGTCGCAACCCCAGTGTCATCCCGGCTTCAGTGCCCCATTTCCTGAACTGTGAGATGCAGATTTACACGATCTAGCAAAAGTAATCTAAAGCAAAGACTGATTTTTTTTTTTAATGGAAAGGAACAGAAAGTAAATATTTTGGGCTTTGTGATACAAACACAAGGCAAAACTGAGAATAGTCTATCACATATGTAGGTACTTATATAGCTATTTAAAATGTCGCCACCCTACTCACTCCTAGAACATGACATCCCACGCACTCATGGGGACACAGCTGCCTCTCCCACCCTTGCTGTCTGTGCACATTTGGTCTCCCCGGCACATACCTGGTTTTCCAAGTCAGCCTTCTTCTGCTTGTTCAGCTCGAATGTGTCCTGCAGCCGGGCCAGCTTGTCCTGCACAGCCTGCAGGGCCGCCTGCTTCTTCCGGAGCCCGTCCATGGCCACCTTCAGCTCCCCTTCAGCAGCCGCCAGTTTTATCTTTTTGGGAGCTACTATTTTCGCCACTCTGCAAAACAGTAAAATGGGGAGAAAATATGCATGTGATTAGAAGAGCATCTTCTCTCTCTGAACTTACTTTTCTTATGTCCTTACTATGACTCAAGTCACTTCTTTCTACAAAACCTACTCTGATTTCAATGTTCCATATTTGATCCAAGAATCAAACCTGATCCTAGACATGAGAAAGAACTATTAAAACATTTATCACATACATGTAGTGTTCTCAAATAAATAATTCTTATTCACATTTAAAATACCGCCGGAGTAAATTTTTGCGATTCTGCAAAAGGAGAAGACATTCACACAGAGCAGTAAAATGTCAAACTACAGCCTCATCAGGTAGGGCGTAATTCTGATAAAGATGAAGCAAAGAATTTAATCTTCATCATTTTATCTTTTCTTTGAATAAAAATCGTAGAATGTTCACACAAGCAAAACAGTTGTCTTATAAATATGTATCTGGCAATGAACAGGATTCTGTAGGGGAAAGGATGGATCCACATGCTCTGTCAGTCCGTCATTCTATCCTGCTAACTGATACAAAGTTAAAATTCACTAATACTACATCACAGTCAGCGGGATGTGCAGCACATAATGACTCAAATTGGGTGTACGTTTAAAAGACGCGCTGTAACAGCTGCAGTGTGGAAATGAACTGCCTTGTGCTTTTCCTGAGCATGACAGAACTGTTCTCACACAGTCGTCAAGAACGCCCCTCCTCTCCCAAGAGCACATGTCATGCCAGTGGCTCTCAGGGGCCCTGGGACCCTACAGCGCCGGCTCCTCCAGGGCTCCACAAGGTTGTCCCTGGTCCTGTCGGATACCAGTGGGGGTTTTCTCCATGTTCTTCAGTTCAAACAACACAGCAAGCTGCAACAGGTGAGGGAGGGAGCCTGGCTGTCTCATTTCAGCCACACGTCACGCAGCCTTGGAAAAGAACACGAAACTCCACTTTCCTCACAATCGTTCTGCTTTTGGGGAGGAGGGTAAACATGTAAATTTCTAAACAATAAGCTATTTATGTGTTTGTTTATTTTTGGTACCAGGGGTTGAACTTCAGTCCTTGTGCTTGTGCGGCAGGCAGCGGAACCACTGAGCTAAATCCCCGGCCCCAAAATAGGTTATTTATATTACTCTGCAATGCTTTACTGCTATTAATATAGAATGGGCATTTTAAGAACTCTCCATTTTAATTTCTAATATGGAATTATTATTATTATTATTTTTTTTTTGGTACCAGGGATTGAATTTGGGTCTTTGCACTTGTGAGGCAGGTGGTGGCGCCACTGAGCTAATTCCCCAACCCAAGGAAAGCTTTTGGGGTTCTTCAATAATTTTTAAGAGCATAAAGGGTCCCTGACTCCAAAAAGTTTAAGAAACGCTGACTTATTCTATATGTTTGGCACGGTCTTGCCTCGAGTCGATAATGAACGCTAACAGGTTCCACCGGGACCTTCTGAGATGCTTTCCACTTAGGCAGCTGTGCAGCTGACACTAAATGCCCACAACCCCAGCAGCGCTGCGGACACTCACTTATCGTAGGAGTCCATTGCGATCACCCACTTGCACAGCCCTTCTGCAGCTGTGGAAGCATTTCTGATCTTCTCCGGAACAAAGTCGGGATTGGGAATGTAATTTTTCCTTATGATATTCATATAAGCTGCAGGAATGTTGTCCTTGTCGTACTCATGCAGTGACTGCAGGAACCGAATGTCCCCCAGCAGCCTCTTGGCCGGACCCCAGAAATCCTCAATTTTCTTCCCCGAACCTGTTGGGTCAGGGATTTTGTCTGCTTTGATGCCTTTCAAGATGCAAATTGCTTCCATAACGAGCTTCACCCCAGCCGGCGGGCTCTTCATGGACTTTACTACTGTAATATCCTGGAAATAATGGCGTATCAATGATGAAAAGGACACAGTGGCTCGTACATTTTTGCTAATTCATCCTTCTTTTCAAACTAAGCCTTACGATACGGAAACTCACTGTGTTTGATGGAAATGGCCGCAACAATAGAACTACCGTATGTCCAAAATGGTGACAAGCTTATCCCAAAGGAAAAACTAGAACAAAAGACTAATAGGAGCAAACCTACTTGAGATGCTCATGATATGAAGTCTGCTTCAAAAACAAAGATTTGGAAGTCACAAGGTAGAAATGACAGCTTCTCAAAAAGTATAAAAATAATAGCCACCAATCACAAATATTAGAAAAACATATGGAATTAGACACACAATGGTACTTCATAATCCTACTGAAAGTCTCCAATAACCCCACTGAAAGTCTCCTATAACCCCACTGAAAGTCTCCAATAACCCCACTGAAAGTCTCCTATAACCCCACTGAAAGTCTCCAATAACCCCACTGAAAGTCTATAACCCTGATATATGTATTTAACGTATGAAGTTTCATTTCTGTTCTATATGTTTTCTATGTCTGTATCTTACACAGACACACACTGTTTTAAAACCTGCTCCAACCCACTGAAAGTCTCCTATAACCCCACTGAAAGTCTCCTATAACCCCACTGAAAGTCTCCAATAACCCCACTGAAAGTCTATAACCCTGATATATGTATTTAACGTATGAAGTTTCATTTCTGTTCTATATGTTTTCTATGTCTGTATCTTACACAGACACACACTGTTTTAAAACCTGCTCTCTTTAAACAGCAGTGGACAGTGGATAATCTTCCAGGCTAGAAAACACTTATGATATCACTGTTTTCAATGTCTGCATGGCATTCCAGGAGAAAAGGAGCCACCATTTTAAGACCTTTTTCTGTGTTCTTTCACTCTGCTTTTGTTATTATGATTGTCGTGTTGAACTAAAGCTTTGTATTTTTTATTTTTAGAGCTTTGGACAAACGTGGGCAGAGCGTTCTACAGAAAATATGCTAGGCTGCCTGCTGTTGTACTCTTCTATCCTACCCAGGAGTTTATTTAGTCAAGAGTCCTAAAGAAATCTACCTTTACTTTCCCACATGGAACCATTCCCTTTTGCATCTTGTTTTAAATATATTTAATCAAATCTAAGGCTACTAAAAATAAAGCATTATAAAAGACATTATTATTTCGTGTATTATCCAAAAAGGGACACACGTTGGCAGAATGCTTAGTTCCACCTCCAGTGGGAGGGATCCTGCTCACAAAGTGCCCAATATGACAAGCCTCCTCTCGCACCTGAGTGCACCCTGTGGGTGTAGGGTCTCCCCGCTGCAGAAGGAGAGAGCGCGAGCACCCGTCACTTCTTGGCGGGTGACGCCGGGGGCGGCTTTCTCCCTGTGCCTCAGGCGCCCGCGTTTCCTCTGCTGCTGAACTAGGTGTCCCTTGGCCAATTTCACCAACCCAGCATCCCAGGACAGGTGGGCGGCGGGCGGCACTGCTCACCTGTGCGGTCAGCGTGTCCAGGGCGGTGAGTGCTGACTCCAGGATGGGCAGCGCTTCGGCCAGGTCTGCGTCACACTCGTCCTTGATGGCCTTGGCCGCCATGGCCTGCTCATTGGCCACAGTTTCGTCAGCTTTCACTACCTTTTCCGTTTTGGCCACTTCGATGGACTCCTTCTCGATGACCCCCATCATCTCGTCCACCTCCTTGCTGGCCACCCTCAGCTGGGGCTGCAGGGCCTCCAGCTCCGACTGCATGGTGGCCACCTGCGAGGACGCCGAGCCCAGCTTGTCCAGCCCCACCTCGTACCGCTTCTTCATCTTCATCACCTCACTGCCGCAGAAAGGGGAAAGAAGGGCCGCTCGCGAGGAGCTGGGTCCTCTTGAGCCCTGCGGGCTTCTCGGGCCACAGCTAAAGGCGCGTCTGGATGATTTTCACAGAGACTAGCAGTTTGTTAAAAAATGTGAGCTGCCCAGCCCTGCACTGCACAGTTGGGAGCAGGCTGTGTGCCTCCAGCACCTAACGCGTGAATTCAAAGGGGTGAAAACACCAGTGCCAGGCAAGAGTGTCAGAATCGACGATGCCTCTTTAAAAGCAATCCTCTTGTAAACTGATTCTCCTAACACTAATCTTCCTTAAAACTTTTTTATAATCACTATTTTAAATAGAATTCAGGGCCCAAAATATACTATTTGGAATGTTTTCTGAGGCGAGAATGCTTTTAAGATATATCATCCACCGTAAAGTAGGAATTTTGTTATTGAGAGAAAAGGGACAGATAAGACAGATAAACTCAACACTTCTTGGTGCAGAATGGGTGTATTGCAAAGATCATTGATTAGAAATAATACCATGTCCTGATGGACCTTTCAATTTAATTTTTTCCACAAATTTTTTAATCTGCATTGACCCATGATGTTTCCTTAAAGAGAAAATGATCGTTCTTTTACAGTTTGCTTCATTTTAGAACTCTGGACATGCCACAGTATTTCAGGGTAAAATGTGACACATCTTAGGGATCCTCTGCAGACCACAGGTTGGACAGGAAGCCGCCTTGGGCTGGAAAAGATAACAGGAAGGACAGTGAAGGGTCTGTCACAAGGGAAAGAAAAACCAGAAGTTTTTCTGTGCAGGCGTGGTTCATTTTTGTCCCGTGCCCCCTCTGCATCAGCAAAACACCTGACAGAAATGGAACCAAGGGATTGACATCCGATCCTGGCTCAGGGTGGGTTTGGGCTCAGGTGCCACGCTGTGCAGCCAGCACAGGGAGGGCCTCAGCTGGCCGAGGACAGCAGCACTGCCATGTTGCCCATGGCCACTGGCTCCTGGAGGGTGGCCGGAGGACCTGCTTTTAGCGACACGTGGAGGGAGAGCTCTAAGGCTTTAGTGACCAATGGAACAGCGACCACTGGGAAGGAATTTTGGTGAAGATAAAAGAAGATTGGAGATGATAAATGTTTTTAATTTGAAAGGAAAAAAACAGACAAAATTTGCAAGGCAAATGAGAATATCTGCAAATGTTTAGAAAATGAGGGCACTTTTGACCTTCTTATAAGTTTGGACCTCATGATTATAATCCTGCTTGTAGTTAAGAGGACTTCAAATATTGTGAGCGCAGCATCAAAGCCTTGGCCAGAAGTGACAGCCAAAATTCAATCAGAATCTCTAAGAACTTTAACCCTCCTTGGAGAGGAAAATTAGGAAAAAAGAACAAAAGAAAGAAAAATTTCATCGATAAGTAAAAGAATGTAAGATCTACACAGAAAAGTAATTATCTTGAGAGCCAAAAAAATAATAAAATCCAGACAAGTCATGCAGCAGTGTTTGGTGCGAGTTTCAGATTTCACTGGGCAACAGAAATGTTACTAAGGGTGTGACTGACAGGCATGGCCCTGGTGACCAGGGGAGTCCAGCTTGGCGGGGGGCTGCAATGACCACTGTGGATGCGGACATCAAATGTCCTTCAGGTATGAGAAAAATGCTTCCAAATGCTTTGCAATGGAGAGCTAGCCATTAGGAGATTAAGAATTAGCTATGGAAATATATAATAAAAAGAAACCCACAGTATTAGTATTTTTATACGGAACCTGTATCCAGTTGGTGTGATAAGTGTATCTGTAAGTGCTTAAATCAATTTGCTTTGTTAGATTACTCAATTAGACTGGAAACTGCAGTATAAATATTGTATATTTGGGCCATGGAAGATTTGTGCTGTTGGGTTAAAAAGAACTCATGAATTTTATAGAAAATGTTAAAACATTTAAAGAACTTAAAGCTCACAATATGTTTAACTTTGACTTATTATACATAAATTATTTAAATACCTGGGAGAGTTTTATTTGTGAAGTCAGAACTTCAGAGAAATAAAAAAATGTATCAAAAGTATAAACGCAATCCAAAATATGTTTAATTTTTTGAAAAAGACTGAATATTCATCAAAGTTCCCCTTAAAAGAGACCACTGATATTTTCTAAATTTTTAACTTTGCGGCTTAGTCAAGTTTTGAAATTTTATAATATGCACACTAGGTACTGATTTTTAGAACCAAAGAAACTTTTGCAATGTCTCTGGTATCTCACTTTGACACTTTTTTTTTTTTTTTCCTCAAGACAGGGTCTCACTAAATTGGCTGGCATCAAACTTGCAATTCTCCCGCCCCTCTTCAGATTACAGGCACACGCCTCCACACCCAGTGGCAGGGTTCCGGATGCTGCATGCATGGAGTTACTTAGAGAAGGAAAATTAGGTGTACTGAATGGCTGACTGTGGGCTCTCAGTTGTTCAGAACCCAAACGGAAGACATACGTATCAGATAATTACTGATCAAAAAAAAATCACGCTGGCTTGGTGCTTACCCAATGCCATGGTCAAAGAGCCCTGGGGTCTTACCACAGCCCAGGTGGGCATACTTTTCCCTCCTTCAATAAACACAGTTATACATTTATAATGTGCTAGGCAACGCATCTATAAGGAGAAGCCTTGCTTCCTACCCTCAAAATATTTATAGATGAAGTCATCCAGAGAGTTAACATTTTAGACAAAATATCTTAACCCCGATAGCTTATGCAAAAATGTGAAATTTCATCTTTACCTTCTTTTCCTTTCTAACAACAGTTTGAAGGTGGAGATTAATTCGAGATAAGAGGTGGGAGTCACATAGTTGTATCTCTGAAGTTCGTTGTAGAAAGATGTCGATAAATTTATAGTCGAAGTGTGGAAGCTCTTACACAAGTCGATACAGCCATCCCGTATTTCCGCCGACATTTCAATGTCTTCCAAGAAGCGGGAGGCGACGGCCTGCAGCGCATCTTCGGGCCATGACTGAAGTGAAGGCAAACACCTTAGTGTTTCATCAAGGTTACCTGCGTGTACCCCTGGGGCTGCACATCAGTGGCTAGGGCCTGTCACACAGACTCTTCATGGTTTGCTCTGGGATTAGGGAAATGGGTCAGGAATACTACAGGTGCAAGAGAGACAGGAACAAAACCTACAGAATGTCTATCTCTGTGCGTGTTACCGGTATTATCTCACTTAATTCTGCAAACAGGTCTCGAGGGGAAATATTAACCTTTTCTGGTAAACACTAGAATCATATATATAATTTCCTCTTTGTTTCTCTGGGGAATTTGTGGACATCTTAAACTAACAAGCCCAAAACATGATGCCTGTCTCTCCCACCATAACTGCAGTCTCAACTCAGAAAACACCACCACATTCACCAGAAAACAGGAACTGTCCTCCATCTCTCCTCTTCCTCAGCCCTGCATACATTTATAAACAAATGGTGCCATCAGGCCTAAAAGAGCTTCTATCCTTCTGTAATTACCACACCCACCCTAGTTTAAGTCTCCCTGTCATCTTCCTGGGATGTCCCAGCAATACTGGGCAGCCTCACTCTCTATACAGCTGTCGGGGGGGGGGTCAAATCATGTCAGCTCACAGAATACACCCCAACTTTCTATATGTAGGATAAAACCCAAACCAGCTTACTAATCTTTACCTACACTGACCCCACCCATCTACCTGACCTGTTATACCACTCCATCTCAGTTACTCTGCCTGGGTCTCCTTGTTACCCATACTTTTGTCTTTCAAGGATCCTCCTCAAATTTATCTGTTCAGAAAGCCTTTGCTCCTTTTGTGCTTCTTGATAGGGGGGAATTAGTTTTTGCTAATTTGAAGGTAAGCTCAAGGAGAACAGAGGACTTGTTTATTCTATTTGGCTTTTCATCTCTAACTTTTAATAGAAAGACACGCTGCACAGCAAGAAAGAGTTCAATAAATAGGTTGTACATGAAATTGATTGGAAAGTGGAAGTATTGAGAGACTATACAGATTTTTCAAGATTCTAAATGTTTATGTGATAAATCCTACTCACAGGATGTTGGCAACAGCCCACAAAGTTCCCACTCTAAGGTGAAGAATGCACTGTGATACATTGTTTAAGCCAGAGGGAGAACTAAACTATTTTGCAGTGAACTCATCAGTCTCCTTTGCTACTCTTCTCTGCCGCCCCAAACACCTGTCCTCTTCTTTTGTTGACTCAGCTTGGTGTACTCTGATAGGGAAGTTTACTACCAAAAACAAAAAATGTCCCCCTGGCTCTTTTGAGTTTTGTTAGGTTTGGCTACTGGAGACTGGAGGATGAAAGAAGAGGCAGGTGGAGGTAGAGCATCTGAGACCTAGGGTTCTGGTTTCTGTTGTGCATTCCTCTCTGCAGGCTCCATGCTCCCACTTCCCTCCTGCCACCCTTTTATACCCAGCTGTAGTAACAACCTCCTGCTGCTGTCCACCCCTTCCTGAGTCTCCACCAACCCCTTCTTGGTTGCTTGAAACCAGTCTACACCTCTGTGAACAATCTCTTCCTTAAACTTTTCTCAGTGAAGTCTCCAGATACATTCTGCTTCCTTTCGGGACCCTGCTTGATACACACAGTTCTCCTAAAACTTTCTACGTTCATGACTATATATGCTCAAATATTTCAAACTATATGATTTTTATAACTATAATTACTTAAAATGCATAATGATGGATCTGAAAATTAAGCCCAGCTACATTTGGAGGGGGGTCTAAAAACTGAGTCGAATGAAGACAGAGACTAAACATTTCTAGGAGTCTATCTAAAATTTATATGGTGGTACCTGAAACCAGTCAATGGTACAGCAGTTGACAAGAGCAGGGAACTTTCTGAGACGATTCCGAAATGCGTCTCCAATGGGACTCATGGCCAGCACCACATGCAGTTGGTTGCGGCAGCGATCAATAAACATGTTGAAAAGAGCTACCGGGCTTCCATCAGTCTGCTTGGTTTTATCTCGCTGCCGATCTAACTGACGCATCTTTTCACAGATCTCTTGCTTCTCATCTAACGCAAAGAGATTTGGAACCTCCCCGGCATTCAGCAGATTATTCACATCTTCTAGAAATGACTCTTTTTTAATCTGAGTGTCCGTAAATAGGAAGACACCCTGCATGTCGCCTTCAGCACATTTTCTTAAGATCACTTTCAAATCTTCGCGCCACTCACTGTTCCCGTAGCCCTTGGAGATTTCGACATGGAACACGGTATAATCACACATGTGAGCAGCTAACCGGGTGACAGACTGCCTTCCACTGCCTCCCACTCCAACCAGGAGCGCGTGGCTTCGGGGCTGCTTCAAGATCCTGGAGATCCTGCTGATGTGTTCTATGGCGAATCGGAATAAGACGAGGTTCATGGGCTTTTTGCTCATATTGTTGTATTCGTCCAGGTGAATTTCCACTGTCACTCGGAGATTATCCACATCTGCCACTTCCCTGTAGTTGGTATCTTCCCGCTTGGGATCGTGGAAATCACAAAACATTAAGCTTCTTAAGTCATCTTCTTGTACCACGCCATCATTGTCAAAGTCCAAACCTTTAAAGAGCTCATGAAAATCTTCATCCATGTGGTTTTTCAAAATTTCTTGAATGTAGTTGATAAGCCAACTTCTGTCTGCATTATCCAGAAGGCGATCGTAGTACACTCTAAGGACCTGCGTAGTTTTAAAAAGTTACTTCAGGGATGAATTCTTATTTTTGAATTTTTATTTCTAGAATATAAATTATAAAATAATACAATAACACTGTCCATAGATGTCCGTAGGTTTTGTTAAAAGTAGTCAAATAATGAAGACACACCCACAGTGACGTTTATTTTACATACCAATTTTGCCCATACTGACTTGGAGTAATAGTCACTTTCACCTATCAATAAAAAGTGGTAATTTGGGGGCTGACACAGATCACGTAGATATGAGAAGAATGGGGTCCATAAGAAGGCCAGGGACTGCCTTTGCTGGTCCCTCGGATGTGGGGTACAGAGCTGGGCTTGCCACCTCACTGCTGGTGACATTTCATCTAAGATGACCTTTTAAAAGTTATTGGCAAATCAGTAGATATTATTTGATTTAAGTACATTTCCCAGTAAAAAAAGGAAATGCTTTGGGTTAAGGGGGGATTATTTTGGCATTTATTCATCGTTTCTGTTGGAAGTCATTACAGAGGGCAATCTACCAAAATAAATGTCTGTTACATGCACATAACAGGACTGCAGAAAGTAATCAGACTCACTATACACATCAACCATTTCCTCAAAATGCTCTGAGTGATCCATGTTTACACTCTGGATTGGACTGTGCCCCCCACACACCCACCACACATTTATATGAAGTGTGTTTAAAAAATACAGCTAATGCTTAAATTTAAAAAATGATTACAGTAAAGGACATGGTGTCATTAGTCCCCCTCAAAATACGTGAGCACACTCATCCCTTCATCCTTACCACTTCCTGCAGCAGTTCTGCAAGTCCTCTATCATGAGTGTCTTTAGTGGTGCTGTCGTGGCTGCCTTGACATCCTGAGTTGATTCAAAACACTGACCTTTCGTGAGGAAGAGCCAGGAGTCCCACAGCACCAGATCCAGGGAGTAAGACTGAGGACACACTGTAAATGTTTTTCCAATCTGCCTATCCGTTGGATGGCACATAGCAGCGGTGTGCACCGTATTTTTTATCCCACCTCACAAAGACACTCACAAAAGGGTGCTCCAGAACCGCTTCAGAAAGTGGCAAGAGTGATGGCACAGGCGTCTCTGAAGTAAGGGGACTGCTCTGAGCTGGTTTAACAGCAATGTGGTCTTTTACTGCAATCATTTTTATTGGAACACTCACCATGTTTTAGTCACTCCTTGTACACTGAAGTCCTAGCAGTCAGTGCGACTGTATTTAGAGACAGGGCCTTTCGGTAGGTGATGAAGGATGAGTGACATCATAAGACTGGGCCCCTCAGACAACAGGACTAGTATCACCACCCCTGACCCTCCTGCCCTCTCTCACTCTCACAAACGCTGATGCCACCTTGATCTTGGAATTCTGGTGCCCAGAACTGTGAGAAAATGAAGTTCTACAGTGAAGTCCTGGGTCTGTGGCCAAGCAGGATTGTATTTGTCATGGCATTCCAAATAGACCAACCCTCCCGCGACATGAACAGCGCAGGTTTTCATCATCAGGGTGGTGGGTCCTGACTCAGCACTGGGATTTTGGGCAAATCACTCACACTGTCTGCATGAGTTTTTTCACAGATACTTCTTTACCTATAAAGTGGGAGCGATAACCAATACATTACAAACGTCATAGGTTTGTGCCAAAAGTGATAACACTGGGAAAACACTTCAGAACTGAAATATGTAATTATTATAAACTTCCCTGGTGTCAGGCTAACAGCAGTGCTGGACAATCATGGCTTATTTTTTAAACACACTTCATATGAATTGGGGGTACGGGGGTACAATTCAATCCAGTTGTCAAGCCAATGACTGAATAGTATAATAATGGTGGCCATACAGGCAAATGATGCAATTTGGACCTCTTCCACACCTCAACCAGATGTTTCCAGAACAGTCTAGTTTTCCAACATATGCCAGTGGTCACATCTTTGGCCTGAGGTACCGAAGACTTCAGACAATATTCCCATGTGGGAGTATGCTCATCATTCCCAAGGAACTAAGTTAAACCAACTTCACGTATCAGGGTCGCTGCCTGACCACGAGTCCAGTGTGTTACTGACTTGAGGCAAATTGGCAAGAAACTGAGGCAGAGTCTCTCAAAGATGGTCAACTGGGACAGGGTCAGCTTGGCTGAGGCACTTCCGCAAATTAGACCCATGATGGGGCCACAGACAGTGGTGCCAGGGTACTTGTGCTCCTTAACCCCTTCTCTTTTCCTCAGATGAGGTACACACGTAATAAGGACACAGTTCCGGGAGTCAGCACATTCGCAACCCTTGCAAGCACCATGGAGATCAAGCTATAAAACACTCCTCACCTCAGCAGCCCCCTCCTGCTCACACCCTTCCTTCCCACCAGTCCATGACCACCTCCCACAGCTTTAAAAGTTAACACGCAATAAATCTATACTACTATACTATAAATCTATACTACTATAAATCCAGACGGCTGCAAGGGATGTGACTTCTGGCACACTTACCTTTATAATTTGTGCTTTGACTTTCATGTCATGTTATTAATTGCAGATTTTAAAACTAAAGACCTATTTCATAGGATATAAAATTTGCCTTTGTTCAGTGTTGGAGATCAAATCTGGGCCCTGGCACATGCTCAGCAAGTATTATCTCCAGCCCCAAATCCACCCTTTTAAAGCGTGCACTTCATGACTTTTAGAATAGACACAAATTGTAGAACTATCGATCCTTATCTCATCTCAAAACTTTTCATCACCCACAAAGGAAGTCTGGTCCCATTAGCAGACACTTTCCACTGCCTCCATCCACCAGCCCCTCCTGTTAATATGCTTATTCTGAACGTCCATGCACAGGGAGCCAGAGGTGATCTTTTGTGTCTGGATTGTTTTGGAAGAAAGAAGTCCTGCAGGCTCATCTGGGAGACACGACGCATCGCCATCCTGTTCTAGAGCAGACGAAGTGCTGCTGTGTGTGCCGGCAGCGCTGCATTTACCCACTCGTCACGCTGGGCCCCGAGCTGCCTCCCCTGGCTTTGTGTGGCTGTACATCAGTTCTGTGGGGCACACAGACAGGCATGGAGCTGCTGGGCCATACGGCAGCTTTGTTTCACCTTCTGATGAACGGCCACACTGTTTTCCTTATTACCCTTCCACCGGTAAAGGATGAGGGTTCCTCACCAATCCTTGCTCTTGTTCATTAGTTTGGCTTGCTCGTGGTTTGAGGGGCCGTCACTGTGGTTGTGGGTCCCCTACTGACTGAGCGTATGGGACATCTTTTCAAGGCCTTACTGGCCACCTCTGTGTTATGGTTAGAGAAATGTCTGTTCAACTCCTTTCCCGCTTTTAAGTTGGTTGAATCCATCCCTATGTGCTCTGCACTACACACTCATCAACGATTTACAGCTATTTTCTTTCATTCCGTGCACTGTGTTTTCGCTTTCTCGACAGTGGCCTTTGAAGCATGAAGAATTTTAATTTTGATGAAATTCATTTCTCTCTTTTGTCCCTGGGTGTGTTTTATGCAGAACAGGTAATTTTTTCTTCACTAGCACGTGTTGTCGTCAGGACCCAAGATCACACGCCTCGCAGGAGCTAGTGAGTGGACATAGCACAACTTCATTCTCTTCCTCATTCCTTTTCCCTCCCCTCCCACTCCTCTCCCCATCTCTTGGCCTCCTTCCTTTTGGCAAAAGGCCTCTCCCTGCTTCCCATTACCTTTTATGCCACTCTTTATTAACAATTCATATTTAACAGGCAAACAAGCTAATGTGCTCACTAGAGCTTAAGAGCCTCGGAGAAGCCAGGGACATGGGAACAGGACAACTCTGGTTTTTGGTTTTTTGCTTTATTGAGTTTATTGGTACATTTTAGGTATGCAGTACAGTTGCATTCATCATTGGGATCTTGTACCTTTACATGACAGGTCTTGGTTCTCGTTTTTTCCCCTTTTCTTTGCCCTTCCTTCACCCCATCCTCCCCTCCCCATTTACAAACATTTTATTTCCATTTTCTCATTTTCTCACATTTTTTCTTTTCCCTTATTCCCTTTCCCCTACCCTTCCCACTTTCCCTACACCTTTAGCCATTTTCTTCCTATTTCACAGGGTCAATTATCTCATGAGGATCTCATGTACTATTACAGTTTTTCACACAACAGAAACTATTCAGTATTTATACATGTGTGACTTGTGTATTTCACTTAGGAGTATATCCTCAATATGTATCCATTTCCTATGAATGAATCTAATTTCTCATTCTTTATGGCTGAGTAGTATTCCATTTTATTAAAAAACCACATCTTTATCCAGTTTCCAAATGATGGGCAAATGAACTGTTTCCAACTTTTAGCTATTACAAACTGTGCTGCTATAAACATAGGTATGCATATATCACTGTGATATGATTCTTTTAATTCTTTTGGAAAGATACCCAGCAGAGGGATGGCTGGGTCAGATGGAACCTCTAGTCCCAGCTCTTTGAGGTATCTCCATATTGATTTCCATAGCTGTTACACCAGTCTGCACTCCCACCAACAATGGAGAAGGGTTCCTTTCTTCCCACAACCCTGCCAACATTTGTTATTGTATGATTTCTTGACAGCAGCCACTCTTTGTGGGGTGAGGTAGAATCTCAGTGTTGTTTTCATCTGCATCTCTCAAATGACCAGTGATGTGGAACATTTTTTCATATATTTACTTGCTGCTTTTACTTCTTTATCTGAGAAATGTATGTTCATTTCAGATGCCCATTTTTGAATTGGGTCTTTACATTTGGGGGGCTGATTGTTTTGAGTTCTTTATATATTTTAGATAATAGGTATGTTTCCTGTATTAAACATATTGTTGAATTTTGCTTCTTAATCCATTCTGCCAGTCTATTTCTCTTCATTGGTGAATTGAGGTTATTGACATTGATGGTTATAACTGATATGTACTGACTTATTATTGCCATGTTATTGTCCTTTTGTTGACTCTTTTTACTTTTTCCCCCTCTCCTTTTAGTTTCCTTCCTTTCCTATTTGATTTGGTCTGTTGAGCCTCATGGTATTGTGGCCTTCATTGTCTTTTTCTAGGATATTGTTTAGAGTTCCTTGTAGTGCTTGTTTGGTATTCATGAAATTTCTCAAGTGTTTTTTGTCATGGAAGTACCTTATTTCCCCATCCATTTTGAAAGAGAGTTTTTCAGGATACATCAGTCTAGGTTGGAGGTTGTTTTCTTTTAGGACTTGAAATACCTCACTCCAGGCTCTCCTTGATCTGAGGGTTTGTGTTGAAAAGTCTGCTGTGATTCTGATGGGCTTTCCTTTGCATGCGATTTGTTTCTTTTCTCTTACTGCTTGTAGTATTTTGTTCTTCTGTTGGGTTTCTGGGATCTCCTTTATTATATGTCTAGGTGTAGATTTTTTTTATCGTGGCTAGTTGGAGTCCTTTATGCCTCACTTATCTGCATGTCAAATTCTTCCCCGTTTGGGAAGTTTTCTGTCATTAATTCTGTGAACAGCTTTTTTAAGTCATTTGTATTTTCTCCTGCTACTTCATGGATTCCTATCAGTCTTATGTTATTCTTCTTTGCATCATCTAAGAGTTGTTGGATCAATTTCTCATGATCCCTTACTGATTTTAAGAGGCCTCTCTTTTCATGCTCACTGACTGCAGTCTTATCTTCTATATCTGAGATTCTATCTTTGCAATCTTTTATTCTGCTGCAAACACTTTCAATAGAGTTTTTAATCTCTTGGATATCTGTTTGAAACTGTTTTATGGATTCCATTTCTTTCCTCTGTTGGGCATTCATCGTTTCCATTTCTTTCTTATGCTGGGCCTTCATTGCTTCTATCATGGTCCTGAGCTCATCTATTGTTTTTTCAGTTTCTGTTCTAGAGTCTCTAATCATGACTTTCATTTTGCTTAGCATCTCTATGGTTATCTGGGAAATTATTTCTGTTTTGAATTTTTCTACAGCCTGATTGATCTGTTTTGCTACTTCCTCTGCTATGAGTTCAGGGTGTCCTGGTGCCTCACTATCAGACTTTTCATCCTCATTTGCTCTACTGTTTGCCATTGGTTAACTGGAAGTCCGTCTTTGTGTCTTGCTTAACTGTTTTCTCATTTTTATTTTTGTTGTTGGGTTGTCCCCGGTTCAATTTCTGGGCCATCATTTAAATTCTCCTGATATAGTTGCACCCCAGCCCCCAAGTCTCTAATGACTCACAGACACCCTCATTCTCTTACTATCAGAGAAGACAACTTGCCAAATCAATCACAATCACACAATCACAATTGACACAATCAGCAACACAATAGGATCAAGCACAACCCACAAATTGACCATTCGTGGTAGTCATTAATCTATCACTTTTAAACCATGTGAATTAAATTAAAATCAAGAAGCAGCCCAAAATATGTTCACAGTGAACAAACTCCTCAATATAGCATCTTTACCATCTAGGATGGGGGCCTAGACACAGTTAGGATGAGAGGAGTAGATAAGAAAAAGGATTGGAGAAGGTTTTGAGTGAAGCCAGAGGGCATAGAATGACCATATAATTTTTAGGAAACTTCCAAATTCAAAAGGGAAATACAGAGTGCAAGAATAAGGACAAGAATATAACCACTTAACAGCAATAGGGGCTCACTTTCCTCTGAAACCATCGACCCTTGAGTGAGGTAAAATGACAGAAGAAAAGAATATAAAGAAAAAATAAAATGATAAAGGAAGAAATCTGAGCTAGGGCAGGAGCAGGAACAGAAAGAGAGACGAGGGATAATATGGCAGAGCAAGAGACTGTGTTGGAGAAAGAGGACAGAAAAAAGAAAGAATTTTCAGAGCGTAATGAAGAAATGAAAGAAAAAAATGAATTTCAAGGGACACTTTCACACCACATCTCTGCTGCCATAACACACAATGTGCACAGCCATGTGCAGAACCAAGTCCCTTGATCTCATCTAGCCAATGGCAGACCCCTGAGACTCAGACTGGTCTCAGGCCGCAAGGCCCCTGACCTCCTGCAGGGCTAAACTCCACACAGTTCCAAAAACAGTCCCCTCTGCCCTTTTTTCAAAGATTTTCAAAGTTGGGAGCTCAGAAAAACACCTTTTATGACCACTCATGCCTCTGCAGAGTGGACCCAAGGACTGGCACAACCAAGAGATTCGAGGGGGGGGTGTATGGGGGTGTTTCAGGGGCCACCCTCCCTGCTGGAACTGCTGGCAGCTCAGGCAGGGGAGGGCGCAGCTACCCCATGGAGCGAGACAACTTTGTACCTTCAAAACCACTTTATGAGATAAAATTAGAGCATCAGTGTGGCCACAAGACCTAGAGACGAAAGACACCTACCTCGTTTTCTGATCCATATTAGGCCCTGAAGGAACCATTCTTCAGCAAACAGAAATAAAGCACAAATTAGAGCACTGAGTTCAATCCCTTTACATTTTTGGAAATGCTGAGAATACCACACCCAACTTCATTTTCAGTGAAAGAAAGAACAAGAGATTTTCCCTCCTGAAGTTTGCATGCATCTGAGGGACATCGACCACAAACTCCAGAGTGAGCGTTAGGGGAAAGGGAAACAGAAGCAGTGAGGGCAGAGTGTGTGGCAGTGAGGACTGAGGTTCAGGCTGGCCTGTGACACCAGCTGGGCGGTCAGGATGGACCTGGACAAGGAGGGGCACAGCTCAGATCCAAGGCAGGGATGGAGCCAGCCTGGGCTCAGCATCAGGGGTGAATGTGGTGCCATCAGGCCCCTAGAGGAGGAAGGGAAGGAGGAGGAACCGCCTACATCTGGTGTCACAGCCAGGGGACTGTCAGGCTCAGCACCTCGGAGGGAAGTAGGATGCTAATGTAAGGCTGTGAGTTAAAACTAGATTCATTATGACTGCATGTGCGTGTGTGTGTGTGTGCATGTGTGTGTGTGTGTGTGATACATGTGGAAATACGAAGTAGTCTTCACATCTATAAATTTCTTTGGAACTTGGGTCTGAACCCAGAATTGAACCCAGGGCCCTGGCACCAAGCTAAATTCCCCAGCCCTTATTTATTTTGAGACAGGGTCTCACTAGGTCACGAAGTTGCTTGGGCTGCACTCACAATCTTGCAGTTGTCCTGCTCCAGCCTCCCACAACACTGAGACTACAAGCATTCACTGTCACACTCAGCCTAAAAACTGTAAGTTATTACTTCACAAACCTCATCAAATGCCCAAGGAGCCCTAACAGCCATGGTCAAAACTTATTTATCTGACTTCTCAAGCAGGATAGAATCCTGAAAAGGCTACCCAATGAAGCACACCACAAACACAGCAGCACCTGCGAACGGCTCCCAGGAGTGGCCAGAAGTACTGGTATTCATGATCCCAGGTAGCACTGGTGGTGTCAACCAGCGCCCAGCCTTCCTGCCAGTGGGAGTGGCTCATCGGGATTCCCTGAGCGCTCCTGAGTGCCAGGCACAGGGAAAGCTGCTGCTATTGCCATAAAGATCATGGAATCGGGAACACTGAAACAAGACCTCAAAAGGCAGTGGGCAGGTGGGGGCTGGAGGGGAGGGAGGTCACGGCCAGGCTTGGATGCCCAGGGCCAGGTGCGGCCTAGGGCAAGCTGTGCCATCCAGGCTGCTGCAGAGGGAATGTGCACACAAGTGAAACCTTGCATCCTGGACCTGGGGATGGAACAGGCACCCAGCAGGGCTTTTACAGAGGGACCAGTGCTTTCGAGAGGAGCCCAAGAGCCTCGCCTGCCATTGCCATTTAGCTGGAGGAGACCTTGGGCTCAGAAGGCAACTGAACAACAGTCACCGATGAGCTCAGGGTCTCTGCCTGGCAACCCAGACCAAGCAAGGTCCAGCCTCAGAGCTCAGTGCCCGGCCAGCCCTGCTCCCTTCACCTGTGGCTGGCAGAGTGGTGTCAGAACCTCAGGATCCCCAGTGTGCAGCACAGGACACAAGAGCACACTTCACAGGTGGGAGGGTTTAGGACTCTATGGAGCCACAGAACCTGGATCCTTGGGGCCTTAGTGACTTAGTCTGCTAGCAACAGACAGGTATAATGTTCCCATTTTCTGGGTTTCCTGGCTGTGCTATTAAATTAAAATACCTACATTGTTTCTTTTTGAGTTTAGATGTTTTCCCTCCATCCTTCCCATGGTCTCTGCCCACTTAAAGACCAAGTCATGTGACTTTTTGCACTCCTCTCTCTCTCTCAATCCTGAGTTTTATAACATGCACAGGTATATATCTATTCCAAAGGGAACTTAGGCATACCTTATATAGTTCCTCTGCTCTCAAAGTATAAATTCAGACTGAGTTGCTTTGAAATTTTTTCTTAAAATCTTGTAATGTTACAAATAAATAATGTAAATTAATGCATTTACTTCTACAAGTACCTGCTTAAAATAATCTATTTAAAATATTTTTCTTTTTTATCAGTATGTGTTTGTAGTACGGAACGATTACACTTACAGGCATTGGCACGTGGACATGAACACTTCTTAATTCATGTTTTATCCACTTCCTCTTCCAGCCCCCTCCCTCCTACATCTCTCCTGGATACATTTCACCATTTCACCCAAAGGTTAAGTCACTTTAAAGACTTAGAAATCAACCAAAATTCCTCCAAAATGGAAGTCTAGACATTTGCAACATCATAAAATAAATATCTTAGTACTAAATATTTAACAAATTATTTTGATCATTGGTCTTCCCAGCATCACACAGCTACACACACTCCAACAAAACTGACTGCTAAATCTTTCTTTTCCCTTGGTTGCTGGCACCATGAATGTTTGTTTCTTGTGTGATCCATGGCAATATGGGGAGCGTTACCTCGTGAACCCAGAGGCGTTTCATCACTTCCTTGGTTTCCGCCATCTCGGGCCTCGACAAACAAACCCCCTGGATGACCCGGGAGAAATCCCGGAGGTTGAACAAATAGTGAGACTTGGCCGGCGTGGGCAGGAGATTCTTCATCGCGTCCTTGTACAGCGTCATCGTGCCGTTCACAATTTGTGTGGTCAAATCTAGAAATCCTTCTGGAAATTTATAACTTTAGGAAAAAAATAAACAGAACATTAGAAAATGCAGAAGTATATTACATGAACAATACTCAGGGTGACCAGACCGGTTCGCAGAGCCCTCGCTGCTTGTTATAACAATAGATCTGTACTGCTGTGAAAGCCAGTCTCTGTTCACTGTTAACACTGTGATCCTAAAACCAGGAATGGCTTAGTGAACCTAAAACCACTTCAGTAAGGGAGGAAGCCCCAGCCAGGAGCACATCTCTCAGGCTAAACCCTGGATCCACAAGACAGGGCTGCTGAACTCTCCCACCCAACTGTCCATCTGCGGGGCTGATGAGGAACACTGGCGAACTGGGTGTTTTCAGAGAAGATGATAAAATCACAGCACACACAAGAAGAAGAGAAAGGAGAGTAAGGCCGTGGAGCAGGAAGAGAGGCTGAGGGCACGACCGGGGTGTCCACGGAGCAGTGTGTCCACTGGGAAAGGTCGGCTGTACTTGATTTCTGGCCTGACCAGAAGCCAGTGCTCTACTCCATCAGCACTGGACAGGGCAAGGAGCAGGCATTTCCGCAGCTTCGGGCCTCCGCGTGGACACTGCTCGGGCTTGGGCAGGGGTGGCCTGCAGCTCTCCATGGTGCCTCGAAGTCGCACATCACCTTTGCGCACAGCACGCACCGCTCAGCCGTGAGTGCACCACACAGTAACTCCAGCAAGGCAGCAGAAGCTTGGCCTGTGGGTCCGCTCCCAGCTGGGAGGCAGGCGGAGTGGGAGGAGTGGTGTCAGCAGTTCCCCTCTCCTCGGCCAGCGAGGCCTTTAGGGATAGAAGCACCTCGCACACCCACATGGCGAGGAAGGGCACACTGGCCCTGCCTGACTCACCAGGTTTGTAAATGCCAGTTCAGGATCCGAGAGAAGATCACAAACATGGACTTATCGCTGAATTCATTGATAGTCACAATGTTGAAATGTCTCATGTATCGGGGGGTCACTGGATTTCGGCCACCACCTAAACATGAAACAGGACAACTCGGAATGCTGCTGTGAGAATGCTCTGGGCAGCAGACCTAAGCTTCCACAGTGCAAGGTATCTTGCGAGGTGGCAAATTCCCAGCGCCCAGAGAGTTACAAGTAATCCATCATCTGACAGCAAAACAATTTTCTCCCCAAACTCAAAGTGCTGCTCCTCTACCTGCTACATCCGAATGAGTCCTAACGGGCACAATCCCGAGTGAGGCCTCTGTGAGCAGAGGCCATCACACTGCACAGCGCTGTGCCACAGTCAGTACGGGGTGAGCTGTCACACACGGCTGCAACCTAGACAACTAGGCTGCCCCTCGGGGTCCTTGCCGCGTAACTGTAGTGCAGCTCAATGCTGGAGGGTCCCCTTCTGTGGCCCGGAGCTCATTCCCCCAAGAACTCCACGTAGTAAATCCAGCTACAGTGCTGGCTGCTTGCATTTTTCAAAATCGGGCAATTACCTCACTTTCATAAAATGATGCTTTCAAACATGAGGTTTTAACGAGTGGCCAAGAATTTAACATAGCGTCTAAAATAACATCATCTTTAAAATGTATAGGGCTGGGGATGCAGCTCAGAGTAGGTCAGCATGTGTTTAACGTGTGCAAGGCTGTAGTGCAATCTCTAGCACCCAAAATAAGTAAAAATAAAAATTAATAAAACAGTGCATAGACAAGTTACATGTGCTTTTTCAAAGATTCTATCATGGAAAGCGTTGGTTAGAAAAAGCGATTTTAAAGGTGTATCTTTTAAAAAAATACATCTCATACAGCCACACAGTACATGCTTACTGTCTGCAGGCAGACAGCCATGTTCGGTTCCTGTCACCGAATTATACCAGGCCATTTCCGAAAAGGCGCAGGGTGTGAGCACCACGCACCTGTCCCTGTCCCTGGGGGTCACAGGCTCTGCACCTCAAACAGTCACAGACACCTGGGAATTTGCCAGCTGAGACTCAGCCCTGACTGCTCTGGACAGATTAAAGGGCGGGGAAAGCGCTGAGGACAGCAAGGGGCGAGGTCACTGCCCCAACTCTGTCTCCATGTCCTCCTCCTCCTCCTCCTTGAGGTCATTCACACAGTGCTACCTTTAGAAAACGGCCCCAGGGGAAGCGTGCTCATGGATTTGAAAAGTAGGCACCTGAGGACTAGTGACTGGCTTGGGGCGGGGCTCCTGCCACCCGGGAGCCACTGGCCTTTCATTTAGAAAAGGAAAGAGAAAGGTCAACATGGCCCAGGGAGAATGCGAGGACAGTTTCTACCCAGGAGCAAACTGTCCATGGGAAAAGTCTGGTGAAGGGCAGGGTCTGGGAACACATGCCAGAGCTCTCCTGAAGCAGGATGTTCGGAGAAGAAAAAGTAAAGGTAGAATACAGGTATTCAAATGTAAAACTGAGGCATGCCACTCGGATATACAAACCATCTTTTTTGGGGGATAGATCTGTACACCTTGTTTACAGTCTCAAATTTTTTTTGCATAGTACACTGTGTTTCTACAGCACTGCAGTGTTTGCTGATTGTACTGTACAAGTACAGGGCTGTAGGTTTATGTTCGGTCACATATCACAGCACTGCATATAAGAGCTATGCAGATGAAAGCAAAGCCATCAAGTTGGAGTTCCCTTTGGCCATTTCTTTTTCCTGAATCTTGTAACATGCACAGTACATCCAGCCCACTTAGCCAATCCACTTCCGGCCCACTCACAGGCTCACTGACTCAGCTGTTAATGAGAGATGTCTACCAGCTGTAGGCCAGGACGGGAACATGAAAGTTCTCCATTTCCTTGTGTGAAGCCATTTTAGACGAGTCAGCATTAAACTTTTCTCTCCCTAGAGATTCCTTTGAATTTATACATTTCTCAATGGAAAGACTAAACTGTCTTTAAAGGTTCTTTTCGCCATTTCAGACTTAGAGTCCCTTAGCAGCCGTCCAAAACCCAGAGACGGACAAGGACAGGACTTAACGGGGGCGGTGGAGCCGGGAGAAAGATGGCTTCAGAAGCAGGGTTCTCCTAGAGGATTGAACAGAAGGAAATGAGCTGCCCGGGGCTGAGGCATCCGCGTTCTCAGAATGTAGGGACAGGAAACTGCAAGCCACATCCCGGAAACTGGGAGAGCGAATGACTGATTTGGAAGGGGTTGGAAGGCCCACCCACACCACAGCCAACCACTGTGGAGGCTGTGGTCAGAGTGGACACACACCGGATGTCTACACGCAAAGCCCTGGGGCTGGGTGTCCAGTGGGGCTGCTCTTCCCAGTCACCCCTTAAGATATAGCCAGAGTGACCGCCCATCTCCAACGTCGCAAAGCTGGAGCACCCACCTGGAGGCCCCATTGCACACATGATCTGAATGTCCACCAGTTTAATCATGGAGCAGTCTCTGAGGTCGTACCAGTTCCAGTGATCCAACCACTGTCTCAGCAACTCGATGGGAGGCTGGGCCCCGTAGACCTCCCGGGCTGGCATATTGACATCATCCACAAAGACAACCTAGGACAGAAAGGAAAGCGGGCTGGGAAATACACCTCTGCGCAGTGCCCGACTGTGAGAAAACCAGTAACTCAAACTATCACAACATTTTCTTCTAGTAAAGTACATATCTGGGGAGCAATAGCTTATTTTCCAACCAAGTATTCTCACTGGGAAGTCTACTTCCAAGCAAGTATATTTAGCTTTCATGGAGTGGGGAGATATTTTTCCTATTTCTCGTCCCTCTAGGAGAAGGAACACCTCCATTACTAATCTTTCAAGATTAATAGTTTAAGACTTTTAATCTTTCCATAGGGGTTCTCAATATACCCTTATCTTTTTTCCTTGTACAACGCTGCAATTCATAAAAAAAAAAGGTAACTATATCCTTTGAGGTGAGGGGAAGGTGAGAAGTGTATGCTCCACAGAGTAGCAGAGATTAAGTCAGCTGGTAGCTGAGTTTAACCGTCTAGAAAATCAAACAGGAAAGTCCTTGTTGAGAAAATATATTAGCAAGAGAATTAGAAGGGTAAACAACTTTCCAAAGGAATATTCTACTTTCAATTTAATAAGCAACTGCTGGTTTTTAGAGTCAGGGTATTTAGTGCAAGCTGGGTGTGGGGGCACCACCCACAATTTCAGGTCCTCGGGAGGCTAAGGCAGCAGATTGCAAGTCTGAGGTCAGCTGAACAACATAGCAAGACCACGTTTCCAAAGCCATGTCCAGTACACATAGAGATATAATTGGTGCTATGGTTTAGATGTAAAATGTCCCCCAAGGGCCGGGGATTTAGCTCAGTGGTTCGGTGGCCTGCCTTGCAAGCCCAAGGACCTTAGTTCAATCCTCGGTGCCAAAAAAAAAAAAAAAATT